AGTCTTTCAAAGTGAAACTTATATTAATTGAGCTAAGTTACTTAGGAAGCTATCGACTCTTAAACTGATAAAAAATTAGATAAAGACAGTACTAATCTCATAATTTTATAGTCTTCGTTTTTGTAAGAACTTATCAATTCATAAAAAAAATTGTATGAAGGTTTAAACGAATTTTCAATTTAATTATTAATTACATTTAGAAGCGAAATTTATCATTACGATGTTCATACAAATTTCACTTTTAAATATGTAATTGGCAACAGTCCATATAACTTGTGTCTCTGTTAATAATTAAAAATATTAATAATAATATAAATTACTAAGTAATTAAATTAGTTTAAATTTAAGTAGTGATATAAATCACTTAATTACTAATTACTAAAAGTATTAATAATAATATAAAATACTACTTCTTAGAAAGATCTACGAAAGAATTTAAAATCACCACAAAAAGAAAGGAGCGGTTCTAACATCTTTTCCGCTAATCGTCAAAGTGACCAATCATCCAAAAAGTGATATTTGATTGGAATAAATGTTTGTTGACGCGGAGGAAAGAATCGGAATTTGCATAATGCAGTCGGGGAACTTCGAGTCGTCATCGATTGACTCCTCGTATCGATAAGAACGAGGTCACGAAACGCATTTGCCAGAAGCTCCGTGTATTTCATCTGTATTTTCTCGTGGCTTGTTTGTCTCAGTATTCGTGTAGCGTTCGCCGCGATTGTTCTTAAATAGCCATTGTTATTTTATCCACGTGGTAACGATTCCTTCTCTTCTTTTTCTTCTGAAGTTACTCCGACAAAGTTTCATTCCTCGTCGATAACAATTCAGAAATCGGTAAAATTTCAGTGAATTATATCAAATCGAAATTTATAACATTGCAGATAAAAAAAAGAAGAATTTTCCTTTGTTTTCTTTATCGTTACGAGATATCTTGGAAATTCCTCACGGCAACGCAACGTCCCTTTAAATTAAACACAAACGCAGATTACACATGGACAAATACGATAATAACGAGTCGAAAGGAACGATAACGTATTTGTGCCGCTGCAAATGCTGTCGTTACAATTGCATGCGCCATCTGAACAGATCTGGGCGAAAAATCTGAACAGATTAGATTAGATTATACGCGTATTGCTTTCCTGATGCCTATTATATATTTTTTGGCATTATACAGAATGCATTTTTCTGTTCTCTCTTCATATTCGCGACTTTTCTTTTTTTCTTCTTCTTCTTTTGATGCTGTAAAAGTAATACAATTTGATATTGAAAGTTCATATTACAAATGGCGTTAACGCACAACAGTTTCTTCATATCAGAAAGAACAGCGAAAAATTTATTTCCTGGAAATAACTTGAAGATAAGAAGTAACATTTTCCATTCACGAGTATTAAAATTCCACTTTTAAACGAGTCTCAAAGTTCAAATGCTTTTGTAAATTACTTCTTGAAAGATTTCCTATTGTAAAAGGATATTATAAAGGGTAAAAAAAGAAATCCAATTCCCGGAGTAAAATTTTCCACAATTCGCAAATATTAAATTCCACTTCCAAACAAATCTCAAAATCAAATATCAATGGCTGCTTTTAAAGCATTTTCTATTAAAAATGATATTAACGTAATTGACAATAGTTTCTTCTCGTATCGCATAACAAATAACTTCAAAATAAAAAGGCGAGATTTTCCGGAGCTCACGGATATAAAATCCCACGAGACGAAACACTCTCAAATTCAAATGTCAATCATTTATGAATCATCTCTCAAAAGACTTACTGAGAGAAAATTGAGAAAGAGAAAAAGAATTTTATAAATGTTCCACTTTTAAATGAGTCTCAAATGTGATAATCTCAATCGACACTTTCACAAATCACCTCCCGAAAGACCTATATACCAAACGTGGAAAAGGAGAGAAATGTTCTTTAAGAAAAAAGAAAAAAAGAAAAAGAACTGAGCAGCTGGGCACGTGTGTGTCCGATATATTTTTCGCCTAGATTTATTGGCGTATCAGTGACGGATGAAGTAGCGGTAGAGAGGAAGTAGGAGAAGTTGCGTATAGCAGGTGATAAACCGAAGGTGGACACTGTTAAGTCGTTGTTGAGTAACGGCCATTGGTGAACCGATCCTCCGGCGTGTCTCGATCTTCCCGGTGAACGTGTCAATCGCGGCTCGAACTCGGTGTGGTCAAATTCTACGTACGTTTAAAACCGAAGTAAACGGAATCAGAAGTGACGTTTTTAATTTGCTCCAGCATCTGGTGGCTCGTTGATCTCTCTCGGTGATTAGTGACGATTGTCAATAATTTATTGGTCGTAACGATTAAACGAAACGACAGTCTCGATCGTTCGAGAAATACATCTTTAACGGAGGTTTTCCTTGCAAGAAAAACAAGTTGAATATGATCGTAGTTCGATGTCGTTTTGGGAAAATATTTTTTACGAGGCCGAGGAATTCTTTTTTTTTTATAAATGTGCCTCTTTTGATAATTGGTGTATTAAAATTAAAATATAACAATAATTTTGGAGAGATACTTCTCAGGAAGAAAGAGTTTCCGTAATGAAGAGTTAAAATCACCCGTAGAAAGAAAAAAATTTTTTTTGTAAACTGCGGGAAGTTTAGAAAGTTGAGAGTTTTGATCTTCGAGAGTTCTAAAGAAAAATCACGATTGCCGATAAAGAAACGAAATTTCTAAATTGTGGATAATGAATACGGAATCGAAGGCATTCCTAAAAGCAGTGAGGTCGTGTTATCGTAGTATTTAAAGCAGAAACGTTCAGTTTTAAGAGTGAAAACGACCGGTAAAAGTCGATATGTAATACGTAACGTCCAATTACCAATTCATGGCTCGATAAGGAACGAAGAACGCAGAATGACGTGTTTCAAAATATCGAGGCTACGAGACGCTTTCCAGTTCTTTAGTCACAGTCGTCGAGTATTTTTTCACGAAGAAAAGCTCGAGGAAACTAAAAATAATCGTGAACGAAGGAATGGGTCTCGGCCGATCGAGACATTTTTGTCACAGACAAAAATCTCTCTCTGCAGTTAAATTATTTCGTGATTCTTTCTCTTGCAATTTATCGAAACAAACTTTGTTATTATTTTTTTAATGGCTTTCGATTGTGCAACGAAGTGGGGAAAAAATAATTGCAAGTTGAAAAGTCTTTCGGTGTCGAGAGATAGAGGAACGTAGATATGAGAATGCACGAGTATATCTTTTCCGTTTTTAATTAAACATTACGATTCTTTGATAAAAGCTAATCTTACATCGATAAGAAAGCAATATAGCAATGTAAGGTCTTCGAATGTCCAACAGGCTCATTGTTATTTTATTTCATTTTAATTAATTTAATATTTTTATCTGAATTAACTTGTTTTCTAAAAAAAAGATATAAATGTAACTTTGGAAACAAATCCCTTATAGGAGAAAGATATTTTTAATCACGCGATATTTTTTTTTCTTATTTTTTTAAAAATACAAAGAAATTAATAATATTTTGGAACTTGATCATCTTGAAAGGAATACTTTCGTTATTAACTGGAAATTTTTCTTTTCTTCGATATATTTTAAAATATTCATAATATTTCGCTTTGACTTTTTTTTTTTTTTAATCATTACATGCACTATTATTTTACTCTTGCTTTTCTATATTCTTTTTAACGCAAAACAATAATTTTTTAACACGTTGCACAACACTGTTGGGTAATATCCCCATAAAAAAAATAATTTTTTAAAAATACAAAACGTCTTTTAAATATTTCTTTTTCTTCTAAATATTTTAATAACAACTGTGACAAATTTGGATGGAACTGTTAAAAATTTAAAATAATAATTATTTAATAAAGTAATAATTATTTTCTCGACGATTTCTTTCCAAATATTTTTTCATTTCTATATTCTAGAGCCGCGATTTCTAACTCAATGTTTATAGAATTATAACAAAACGCTGATTAATCGAGCAGGTCACGTAGCCTTTTCCTGGCTAATTTCATTCGATCGGCTATTTCCTTTTGTACCAATCAACCACTCGATGCTTACTTATTGTTAGTTTCTCTTTTAGGAAGAAACAGATGAAAAATGTGAAACACGTTACGAAAGGATACGCGTGAAAACGTGTTGCAAGGGAATTCGAAGCAATTAGCTTCTCCCTCAGCGTCGCGTTTTAATTGGATCGTGAGATTAATTGGAACACAAAATCGAAGCTACGGTTGCGTAATCTTTCGTTTTATACAAGTGAAAAAACACCTTTGAAAGAATTGTTTAATATATCATATTAAATAATTTTGTATCACATTAAGTAAAATACAAATAATATATTACATTAAATATGCCAGGAAAATAGATTTAAACTTCAATAAAGCAGAGAATCTAATCAAGATATATATATAAAAATCTTACGTTAGATTATTCGTGATATCTTGGCTGACGCCAAGTCAGTTTCGTTTTATCGCGTTTTCACGCGAAAAGACTGAATGCCATATAATAATAAGATATAAGTCATAATACGAATTAGAATATATTCGAATATAATTTTATAAAAAAATTCGCCTGCACAAAGTAATATTTGTTCGAAATCAAAATTTTTTTAAAATTGGCCAATTTATCTATCTTAGAGCAAGAATTAAAATAAAGGACTTGAGTTTAACATGACACATATAATACAATAAGTTTATTATTTATTCATATTTATGTATTCTTAAAATTGACGAATTTTTAGATGTAACCACGAAAAGAAACGAGACAAGAATGTAAGAGAAATATATTTATCTTAAAATATCTGCAGAATTTACTACTATTAGATACACACTATTGCAATCCTTTCGTTTGCATAAAACGATGACTGGACATATTATTGGAATATTTTAATAAAATGTTGTAATAACAAGTATATTATGTCAGAAGAATTCTATTAAGATTTATCTGTGTACGTACTATAATATTTGATAATATTTAATTTCTTCCACCATCCGTTGAAGGTAGTTGATAATTAAATTAAAAAATCGGAACTTAAAGGAAAACCAGTCGATCACGGAAGATTATCGAACGAAATTGAGATTGACTTTCCACATAGGCTGCGTATCTTATCGTAAGCATGATCTATCGCTAGATTTCGCAGGGAAGTACAACGAGCATCAGTTGCGAGAGCACCAGCTCTGGTTCTATACTCACGCGATAACAATAACTCTTGATCGCTTAGTTCATTAATCTGTTGGTTGCACAGGGTGCAAGGACACTGCTGAAACATGGGGTGAGTTCCACGAAATTCCTCTATCGTTCTTACAAAAAAAAGTATCTACAATAAACTCTGTCTCGCTAATAAAATTAATCTTTCATGTTCCGTATTATCTCTTTCTTAGGAATTATAGAAATTTATCTTATTTTTTTACGATTACTTATTTAATTCTAATAACAAAATTCGTATACTTAGAGTAAAGATATTGAACTATTAAGGAAGATTTATCATTCTTTCCAATCAGTTTATCTTATCAAATTCTATTTTCCAATATCGAGATCGATGAATTAATATTTAATCCAAATTCCGTAATTTTAAGAAATTTGTAGCATTTATAATATCCTTAATGGACTAATTTATTGATTCTTAAGCTCAATTAATTTTTTTTTCTTTTTTTGTATTAGGAAATTTATTATTCTTTATTATCAAGTAATTTATACTACATAATTTACATTAGCTTGTAATGTTACAATTATAATCTATATTCATTATAATAATTTGTAATGTTACTGCAATTTATGTTGACTGTAGTAGTTTATAATGTTATACTTGGATATGTGATACGACAAAGGTTCATCAAATTTCGTGTTCCATATAGATAGATGTATAAACTGTTATAGTGATGAGGCAGGGTTGCAAAAGGGAGGAACACACCCTACTTTGCACAATACGAAGGAACGAAGTTTGATTTAACCCCGAGTCGTGAAGGTGGGGTAAAAGTAGCCTATGCCGCTCCTTTGTATCTGATTGACAGCCTTATACCTGGATTTTTCGGTAGTCCAACGTTTTAGTCTGTCGCTGGAAGTTTAAATTGAAAGTAACGTTGAATCGCTAGAAACAATTGTGAATCACTAAGTGTATTATTATTGTAAGTCATTGTCTTATAGTACATAGCACCACGAGAAGTTTTAGTTACAGAATTATTGTTATCTTTATTTGTTTAGTGCCTACGCAATATTCATATTTGCGATCAAAGTAAAATTAGCCTAATTAGTTGTTGCAACTAATTGATCATACATTACAAAATTACATTGTTTTCTGTGTTAAAACTCTTTATCGATCTCTTAGCGTTTATCAACATTGTTTCGGTATCTAATCAGCAACTTTATCACTCGTTATTCTGTTGATTCTACAGAGGGTAGTACAGCTCTTACGTAATTAATACATTGATTCTTACGATTCTCCTTTGAAGATTGTTGAAAGAAATTTATGTAATTATTAATACAATGTTGATCACATTGCGATTTCTTTAAATCCAGGATAATACCTAATAATAATATTTTTTAATATTATCTATTTTAACATTACAGAGGAAGATTATAAAATGTATACAGCAATTCCAGCAGAAATTAACTAAATTAGAATTTTCCTTTCGACGTAACAAACTTTCATTACAAAAAATTAGATCAGCTCGTTAAAACACGAAAATGTCTTTGACTTTTTTAGTTTTTCAAGTTGCAGGGAAGTTTAAACATAGTAGCAATACCTGTGTAAAATATAGAGCTCGAAATATTTTGAAAGCAAAAGGAGAGAGACGAGATGATCTATCCTGTTTTACTTATTTTTCTATGGGCGCGTATCCGTGTCGTTGGCCGATGTGACCGCAGGAAATCGACACCGATCGCGTGAATCGCTGTCGAAGTTCAGAGTGTTGATTTCGTTTCCGGCGATCGAACAATACTTGCAGTTTGCACTTTCTCGCGTTCGGTACCATATAACATTCACGAGAAATCGACGTACATACATCTTGGTCGTAACCAATTTCACAAATCTCAATGCCTGTCGATCATATTACGTGCGAACAACTATATTCTAGAGAAACGTTGTGAACTTCAATAAATGAATTGAAGAAACAATATATATGATCAGTATAATGGCCATTATTGTAACGTGGTGTGATTTTTAATATTTACTGATAAATTTAAAATATATTCCTCTGTAAATATAAATATTAAATATAATATTGAATACATTTTCTTTATATTTATGTATTTGATACTTTTATCTTTTATGGATTCATAGTTACTGATGACTTTCTTCATACTGAACAAAAATCAGACTTTTGTATATTTTTAATGGAACTTGCCAGTCTCTGGTAAAAATTGTTGCCACTGTATTAAAACTAGTTGGTAATTAAAAGAGGATGATACGCTGAGAAATGAAAAATGTCATGTATGTCAAAATTTACTTGCATCCTGACTTATTATAGCGAGTCAGAGCCGGTATCCGACACTGGAGGTGGTGTTACAAGTTCCGACAAACACAAGGCACCGGAAGTGCCCAAGACTCACCCCGAGTTACGCAGGAACATGGAACGTGGTCTGCACGAGCGTGATCGCGTCGGTGTCCAGGACTTCGTTCTCCTTGAGAACTTTGAGAGCGAGGACGCGTTTATCGACAATTTGCGAAAGCGCTTCAATGAGAATCTAATCTATGTGAGTAGATTTTCCACAAAGACGTTCTTTTTCCAAGAAATTCTCAGACCAATTTTCTTCCTATGCTGTTTAGTTGCGGACAATACTTGCAATTGATCCAAGTTACTTTACTTAAAATCACTTATGGAAATGTATATGATGAGAAAAATAGAGCTTGAATTTATTTATAGAAAACTTAGAAATTTTAGAAGTCTTTCCGATAAATATTTGAACTTCTAGTTAGATTATTATTATCGTACAGACAACATGAATCAACATACTTGAATCAACATTTTTGAATAAAAATTGTTGATTCAAGTATATAACAAAGCATTGCCAAAAGAAATGTCAAGATTTAAAAATACGAGACTATATTTATTTGACATTCCATAGATTAAAAAAAAAAAAAAACAGTTCTTTCTTCAATTTGTAAAGAGGTTGTACGTTTATTGAAAATTTACTAATTCAATTAGAGCTGTGCTTCAAACAGGTGTTAATTTCATTAACAAATCGAGCTACCTGTTTCGTGTTCACAAAGAATTTAATCTTTTATTGTTCTGTTCAAACTAAGTAACAAAGTTTTACTATTTTTTCAGACGTATATTGGTCAAGTGTTGGTATCAGTGAATCCTTATAAGAAATTACCGATTTACACTTCGGAAGTCATTCAATACTATCATAGAAGAAATTTCTTCGAAGCTCCACCGCACATGTAAGATACTGAATTATAACGTGTTTTATCTCCCAGTCTAGATGATTAATAATTCGAAACTTTTTGTTTCATTTCAGCTTTGCACTTGCTGATACCGCTTATCAATCTTTGTTGAAGGAGAATCGGGATCAATGTATTCTCATCTCTGGTAAGAAGCAAATTAATTACAATTCGAAGGTTGAGTTTAGCTATTGTAACAAACAAAAATATATATAATATCTAAAAATATATGATATCCGAAGTATTTATTAATATTTAGTAGATAAAACAAATTTCCATTTGAGTTTCATTTTTTAATTTAATTATCTTTATAAAAATTTTAAGATGCAGTCTAAATTATGAAACTTAAACTTCATTCAACTTATGATTTAAAATTTTTCTAACAGGGTAATAAAAATTTCTTAAAAAAAATACAAATGCTCATCTATTGGGTATAAATTAAATATTCTTGGAACTGAAATTGTGTAGGCGAATCCGGTTCAGGGAAGACCGAAGCTTCGAAGAAGGTGCTAGAATTTATCGCTGCCGCCACCGGGCACAAGAAACAAGTGGAAGAAGTAAATGATAAATTAATCGGTAGCAATCCGGTGCTCGAAGCTTTCGGAAACGCAAAAACTAATCGCAATGATAATTCGTCCCGTTTCGGCAAGTACATGGATATCCAATTTAATTTCCAGGTACAAATGAAAGAATTGTTTCATTGTCTTTATTTGTTTACCTAATATTAATACTTCAATTAAATTTAAGAATTGTTGCGAATCAACTAAAGTATCCAGATACTTATGAACGATAGTATATATAGTATATATCTATTTATATATGAGAAAAATGTGTCATGAGTGAATAAAATCATACACGTTTCCAGGGAGATCCAATCGGTGGAAACATCTTGAATTATCTACTCGAGAAGTCGCGAGTGGTGCATCAATTTTCAGGAGAGCGTAATTTCCACATATTCTATCAATTACTGGCCGGAGCAAGCGAGGAAACATTACGAAAATTGTACCTCAAGAGAAATTTAGATACGTACTATTATATGAGCAACGGGGTAAGCTTTCTAATCAACCGGCTATTATTATAACGTACACATTGTAAAACACATATGATTTCTAGACGAAAGGTACCATAGACACTATAGACGATGCTGTTCAGTATAATGAAGTAATAAAGGCGATGAAGACTATGGAAATGACTCAGCAGGAACAAGATGATTTATTCGCAATAGTTGCATCCGTATTGCATATGGGAAACGTTGGTTTTACTGAGGAAGATGGTGTCGCGCAAATTTTAAAACCAGCTTCCGTAGAGGCAGTTGCCGCTGTAAGTCTGTAACATTCATACAACGCATAAAATAGTGAAAAAGATAATAAACTAATCTTTTACGAGTTGCCTGATTGACCAGTTATTTGCAATTTTTCAATTCGCAGTTATTGGGTTGCAACATAAAACAATTGGCGGAGGCCTTTACAAATCGCACCATAGACGCCCACGGCGACGTGGTCGTTTCCCCATTGAACAGAGAATTCGCAATTTATGCACGGGATGCGTTGGCGAAAGCTGTGTATGACAGACTGTTCACGTGGCTCGTGACCAGATTGAATAAATCCTTGCAGCCTGTTAACAATCCACATAGCAAGATGGTCATAGGAATTCTGGACATCTACGGTTTTGAAATCTTCCAGAAAAACAGGTACACGTTCTCTGAAATTAGATAATATTTATTAATAAAAATAATCTCTTTCATTGACGGTGATTGATTAAAGATATCGTTTCACAGCTTCGAACAATTTTGTATAAATTACTGTAATGAAAAGTTGCAACAACTTTTTATACAATTGACGTTGAAATCGGAGCAAGAGGAGTATCTGAGAGAAGGAATAACGTGGGAAAATGTTCATTATTTTAATAACAAAGTCATTTGCGATTTAATTGAAGAAAAGTATAAAGGTAGTAATTTAAGATTTTAGAAAATGAATGAAGATAATAAATATATTGTTTTATGATATTTTTTTATTTAAGGTATAATATCTTTGATGGATGAGGAATGTCTCCGTCCAGGAGAACCAACAGATTTGAGCTTCCTGGAAAAATTGAATGTAAATTTGAATAATCATCCCCATTACATAAGTCATATGAAAGCAGACCTGCAAACACAAAAAGTCATGGGACGTGATGTAAGATATCAACTCTTTGATTCATGTAATCTTCTAATAATTTTTTCTAACGTAATTGCATATTTTAGGAGTTTAGATTAGTACATTATGCTGGCGAGGTAACGTACAACGTCCGTGGATTTCTTGAGAAAAATAATGATTTACTGTATAGAGATTTACGTGAAGTGATGTCACACACAACGAATTCAATTATTAAGGTACATTCGCTGAATGAGATTTATATATAGTATTTTTCGGTTATGTACACTAAAATTTATAATTTTGTAGAACGTGTTTGATGTGAAAGATTTAACTAGCAAAAAACGACCAGATACTGCCATTACGCAATTTAAAAACAGTTTAAATAATCTGGTGGAAATTCTTATGGGCAAAGAACCTTCTTATATCCGTTGCATCAAACCCAATGATTATAAAATGGCCAGTAAGTTTCAATAATTTCTGTTTAATTAAAAAAATATTTCATATATTTTAAATTTTATCTTGAATATTATTTTAGATCAATTCAACCAGCAAATTATACTGCATCAAGTAAAGTATTTAGGTCTTATGGAAAATTTAAGAGTAAGACGAGCTGGTTTTGCCTATAGAAGACCGTACGAACAGTTCTTACAACGTTATAAATCTTTATGTCCACAAACATGGCCAAACTATTACGGTTCCGCTAAAGAAGGTGTTCAGCTGCTCGTTTGTCATCTTGACTACGAACAAGATGAATATAGGATGGGCAAGTAAGAACTGATAGATAAATAAAGTTATATAAACCATTTTTTAACGCATCTAACACTGGATAAAATCCATTCCATAGCACAAAATTGTTTATTCGATTCCCTAAGACATTGTTTGATACGGAAGATGCCTTCCAGATGAAGAAACACGAAATAGCTGCTATTATTCAAAGCAAATGGAAATGTATACTAACAAGGCGAAGATATTTAAACATGAAAAAAGCGGCAGTAGTTTTTCAAAAATATATTCGAAGATGGTTGGCAAAACAAGAAGCTGAAAGAAGACGAAAAGCAGTCATTACTATTCGACGGTATTATGAATCAATTCTATTGATTGAATATTTTCCACATATTCTAAACAAAATACAATAAATCAAAATAACTTCGTATAGATTTATCGAAGGATTTATTACACGAAATGGGCCACCAACAGAGATTAACACTGCTTTTATCGAGCTAGCAAAGTCTCAATGGTTACTCAAGCTCTCTAAGTCACTTCCAGTTGGTGTTTTGAATAATTATTGGCCTCCGTGTCCATACTCTTGTCGAGAAGTAAGATAAACGATTATTTAATTGTTGCAAATGAATATTTTTTTTAAAGAATAATAACCACGTTAATGAATAATAATCAATGTAGGCCTCAGAACATTTGCGCATCATACACAAAAAATGGAAAGCTCGGAAATATAGACTGGCTTTGTCAAAAGAGGATAAAAAACAGTTTGAATTAAAAATATTAGCTGAATCTCTTTTTAAAGGCAAAAAGAAATCGTATGCAAAGAGCTTTGGATCAAGATTCCAAAATGATCGACTTGGTCCTGAATACAATGCGCTGAGAGAAAGCTTCACCGTTAATCATCTTCCTAGAAATGAAACTATAAAAGTAATGTTTTTCATGTTTAAAACTTGTTTTTGAAATTATTATAAATTATAGTCCCGATAATAATTTTTATTTATATTATTTTTAGTATGCGACTCCTGTTATTAAATATGATCGGCATGGTTACAAACCGCGTGAAAGGGTACTAATTTTAACAGAATATGCTGTGTATATTTTAGATACCTTAAAAACATTCAAACTGAAACATCGACTTCCTTATAAATCCATTGAAGAGTTGGTGGTTACAGGAGAATCGGATAATTTATTAATTGTTAGGATACCACCTGAATTAAAAAAAGACAAGGTTTGCCATTATTAAAAAAATATGAATAAACAATTACTATTTCTTGATTGTTTTTATTTACCTTTTGTTTAGGGTGACTTAATTTTGGAGGTACCACATATCATAGAAGCATTAACAAAAGCGATTGTCATCACTAATAATCCGAATATTCTTAAAATTGTTAATACAGAATCGTAAGTACAAATGAAATTTAATTTTTATTCTTGTTCATTCTAATAGTAACAAATTTGCTAAATGTTTAAACTAAAATTGTCTTTCAGAGTTTCACATAAGCTAGTCAGTGGGAAAGAAGGTGTGATTGAATTCAAAACTGGTACAACTCCAACCATTAGTAAAAACAGACAAAGCGGACATTTACTAGTGGTAAATAGAACATTTGCTAGAAATATATAAAAATAAAATATGCTGTTTAGTTTGTAATTTATATTTAATATTACAGGTAGCTTCTCCGTAATGTTCGAACAATATTTCAAACAATCTTGTACTTACTTAGAAAGATATATATTTGTTCAACACATATAAAATACGATGCTTAATTGATGTGATCTAGAGTGGAATGTTATTAAGAAGAGATAATATATTAAAATTTAGTACATTTATCAAATGAAACTCACAATTTTGTATGTTGTTATATGAGTTGTGTAAAATATCTTGTGAAATAATGTTTATTTTTGTAATTAGCGCATTATTCGCGAACTGAATGTAAATCAATTAAGAATGAAACTTATGTGCCTTCTACGAAACTATTGTCAAATAATCGCACAAAAAAAGTAATTTATTGCGGGATGCTTGAAAGTTACAGATGCACTGAAAGTTAATATTTTCTTTTTCTATATTTATATTCTATAAGTCACTGTGCCATTGATTTCATGTTCAGAATTACCTTATGAAATAACAATATAAAGTTAAATTAAAACAATGTTTTTAAATCTTAACAAATGAATGATTTTATTTTTTTCTCATTATTTACATTTCCTTGTGTAATAAATTTTATATAACAAGATAGTTTGCTTTATTTCTATTCTTCACAAATGTGGTAAAGTGTAGTTGTATTAAAAAACTTTATAGTATAGTTTATAATACAAAAGTCCACATTACATTTATCACCTCAGTAAAAATGAAGAATACTTTTTATTATCAACTTTTAAATAAACTACTTCTTTTTTGAAGTAGCTGTTTCCTTCTTAGTAAGTGACATTTTTCCTTCTAAAGCTTTTTCTCTTAATTTAATTTCCATTGCTTTGTTAACTGTTTTTGTAATCATTTGTTTTAACTTATGTGTTTCTTCAAACTTCCTTTTTTTAGGCTGAATAGGTGCATCTATAAATAAAAGAATTCAAATATTTTTTTGTGAATAAATAATGAAGTAATATATAATTTACTTACCACAATGTTTTATAAAAAAAAAAAAAAAAATACTTACTATTTCGCCGTTGAATGGCAGGAGTATTTTTGTTTTTATTCTTATTTTTTTCCTTTACCGTTGGTACGTTAGTTTTCACTTTTAATTTTCCTTGAGCCATGTCCTAAATATTTAACAAACACTTTATGCATAATTATATTAATACTACAAACGCAATGAAACATATTTGAACTCGTTTAGACATAAAATAGCAATCAAGTGAATGAAACCATAAATGATTCTTTTTATAAAAAAAATTAGTTTCTTATCTTCTATAATTACAATCATTTCTCTCGTAATCCCCAAAGCAAAACAAATTGTAAAATTTGATATATTATTATTTTTATATTTTGTATAAAATTAAATATATTCTTACCGAATTCAACTGTAACCTCAAGATTCAAAACGATGACTTATACTTCCATCAACACGTGTCATGCAGAGATAAGAAGTTCCCTGAAAAGAATGTGGGTCTGGTTGGTCATTTCCAATCCATTCTTAAATTTAAGAATACCTATTGGTTGAGAGTGTCATGCCAAACAAAACCTAGTGGGTCAGTTAGAGAAGGAACTGCTTCCTTTGCTCTTGCATGGGACTTTTCATTTTTGTACATAAATACAGCTATAACTGAAAATATATATACAATTTGCAATTCGTCAGTAGATAGTATTAAAGGTAAAATTTCTAGCGGATGATTTTATGTATAATGTAAGGTTAGAAAGGATATAGAAGGTGGAGTGTATTTCGTCTCGGAGTCACCGCCAAATTCATCAATAGGGCTGATACTGGTGACCCCTAACCTCAGACGCTCGGTTTATTAGGAACCTCTAGCTTGGGCCAAGAAACGGCACTCATTGTAGAGGTGTTCCGCACGCTGCAAGCTTAACCTAAAAATCGCACTTGATCCGTAGATAAGCAGCATCCACTTACGATTTATAGTATTCGTGTCTTGGGAACTGGGAAACTAAAGAAAGACTGGATGTGCTAGCCGCTAAAGGTATTAAAATACTAGCGTCGCATAGCGGTGAAACTAACGGTGGAACTAACTAATATTGTTGTCCTTGTCTCATATTATCGCTCTCCTTGTCTACCACGCAAATATGTCTGTCCTTGTTGCACACTGTCGCTCTCCTTGTTTACCGCGCGTATATGTCTGTCCTTGTCACACGCTGTTTGTCTCCTTGTCTAATGACGCTAGACAAGGAAAGCAACAGTGTGCGAGAAGGACATCCTTCGATCTATTGAAAAAAAAATTCAACTTTTTACACACACGTTTTTCTAGGACAAATCACACATAGAAAAAAAGCGGGGAACCTAAGTTTAAGGAGGCATGTAAAAAAATTCGCAAATTATTCCTCCTCATTGGGTTTTTTTCGTAATTAGAGAGAACTGTCACAAAATGGACATGGTAGCGCCATCTAGCGGTAACTCGTTAGTACTAATTAATTACAAAAATACATATTTCTGCATTTTACGACTCAAATGGGGTATGAAAAGAAAGCTAAAGGTCTAATTAGGGTAATACAATCGTCACAATTCATTTCGCTAAATTATGTTTTTTCGAAAATGAAAATTTCTCTGTTTTACGGAGAAAGACACACTAGCGCCGCGTTGTGGCAATCCGGTGGAACTAAACGCTCTACAACCATATAACAATTAATTTTAATTTTTCACGTTACTAATTTGCACTCCACGAGCATATACTTCAAAGATAATACTATCAGTTACGTTCGCAAATAAATTTGAATCTAATATTCACTATAGTTTGCGCAAAATTATGCACTCACTACTGACACTACTCCTAACGTAAACGAAATTGAAACATCCTTTATATACGTAAACTATACTTAAACGAAACATAAAACGCAAGCTTAGGGTCTCTAAAATCGGAGATGCAACCATAACAGTCCACAAATGATTCCTCTTAATTAATTTCTTCTCGTAATTTGT